TTTCCCAGATCCTGCTTCTTGAACATAGGAGCGACATGCTTTCTTCCAGTCCTCAGTAACCTCCCCTGATAGCCATGACCTTTCAAAGATTATTGAGCCTCTCTCAGCACTCATAGGTGCATCACGTCAAGTGCCGTGGACATAGGTATGTCCAGTTTGTTTAAATCTGATCTGATCCTCCTCCACTGAGACTGAGTCACAGGGACCTGGTATTGCTGGAGGCAAGTGTTAGCTTTAAAGACAGAGCTGAAGAAAGCATCGAGTGCTTAGCCATTTTTATGTCCTTTGCTACCAGAGCCCCTGCTCTTTTCAGTAGTGAGCCCTCTTTATCCCTTGTCTTCATTTTGCTGCTGATGTATTTACAGAAGCCTCTTGTTGCCCTTCAAGTCCCTCACCATATTCAACTCCACAAAGATTTTGGCTTTCCTAACCCTATCCCTGCATGCTTAGACAATGTCTCTAAATTTCTCCTGGTCTCTTGTCCCTGCTTCTATATCTTGTACCTTCCTTTTACATTGAGTTTTACTCAGAGGAGGTCCTTGTTCATCCATGCAAGCTTTCTGCTACCTTTGCTTGACTTATTGCTCATTCGAATGGACCATTGTTGATCTTGGAGGAGGTGATCCTTGAAAATCAACCAGCTCTCATGGACTCTTCCTCTCTCCAGACTGATATTATACTGGATTCTTCCAAGTAGGTCCCTGAAAATGCCCAAGTCTGCTCTCCTGAAATCCAGGGTTGTGATCCTGCTTTTTGCCTTTCTCCCTCCTCTCAGGATCCTGAACTCCCATCATCTCAAGGTTGCTGCAGGCAAAGCTGCCCCTGACCTTTACATCCCTGACTAGTTCTTCCTTGTTTGTAAGCATGAGGTCCAGCAATGTGTCTCCACTCATCATCCTGTTGATTGCCTATGGCAAGAAATTATTATCAAAGCACTCCTGGATTGCTTGTGCCCTGCTGTATTGTCCCTCCAGCATACACTGGAGTGATTAAAGTCCCCCATGAAGACAAGGGCCTGCGAACATGAATCTTCCAGTTTTCTGAAGAGGACTTCATTCTTCTTCCTGATAAGAAAGGATCAGCAGGCAGCCACCATATCATCTGCACTGGTCTACCCACACCTGACCGATACGCTCTCAGATGGCTCCTTGACCATCCCAAGGCAGAGCTCCATCCATTTACACTACACATCACACATTTGGTGATGAGTGGCGTCCCACAGGGGTCTGTATTGGGACTGGTACTGTTTAATATCTTCATCAACGACATAGACAGTGGGATCGAGTGCACCCTCAGCAAGTTTGCAGATGACATGCCAGAGGGACGGGATGCCATCCAGAGGGACCTGGACAAGCTCGAGAAGTGGGCCTGTGTGAACCTCCTGAGGTTTAACAAGGCCAAGTGCAAGGTCCTGCACCTGG